GGAGAACATTATAGAAAAAAATGTCTGTATTAGTAAGATTTATTTTTAATCAAACAATTTTATTTATATCCAAAGTATAAAAACTGTGAATGTCCCTACCTCTGCTCACATTATGTAAGCCTGCAAGCAATATACATGGATTTTAGATGAAATATGCTATCTTTGCAGAAAATAAACAGGATTTAAACATCTGGTATTTCTTAAAGATGGCTGCTGCTGCTAAAAGTGGTCACATTATTAATGATTAGAAGTATTTATTATGTAAACTTTTATGAAAAGTAATTGCTTTCAATCACATTCTATTGTAGTAATAACCACTAAGCAGGTGGGTTTTTTCTTCTTGTAAACCCAGGTCCCCACACCTACACTTTTTATGAAAAATTCAGTCCATATTGAATTTTCACCAATATCAAAGGGAAATTCCTGTTGGATAAAATGTATTCACCTCTTACATTCATGATTGTTCTCAAAGGCACTGCTGTAGGGTATGCCTAGGTTATATTAGGTGGGTTCAAACTAGGTGGATTAGGGCATCGGGTAGCCACGAGCCAAAGATCCATGTCAATGCAAATTCAGAAGAGAAGATTCCTATCCACACAAAAAGCAAGGTGCAGGAGTAGCTTCCCAATAGCAGTGAGCCTAAAGACTGAGAAGGGAAGATCCCTAGCTGCTTCTAAGACAGTGAGGGGTTTTTTTTGTAAAAAAGGGCTGTATAACATGTTGGCCATGACAGAAGCAGCTGGACCTCAAAAAACCTAGAAAGGCTGTTTCAGTTTTGGGACATGAAACAAAGAGGAATTCCACAATCTGAATATTGCTTCTCTGATTTAAGAGAAACAGATGCTTACAGACAAAAAAAAAAAAAAAAAAAAAAAAACAACCACCAAAAAAAAAAACAAAACCAAAAAACCCAACCAAAAGCTAAATCATCCAGCTGAGTTCTCAAAGAGACCTAGTTTTCTACATTGCTTCACAATTCTTTTTTCTACTATTGTTGCAAACATTTGAACTTACATTTGAACAAAGTGAGATATGAGACTATACAACTGGTGCAAAATATCCTTTTCCATACTATGGGCAAGATATGGAACTAAGTGTTGAGCACACAAAGGAGAGTGTGTTGTTTGCACTTGATTGGAAGATGTGGATGTCTTTGGGAGAAAGGGCGTTCCAGGCTGTATTTACCTCTTCTGGCTGTAAAACAGAACTTGGCAAACAGACCTTTATGGGATAAATGTTTGATCGTTCAGAGTTAGTTATGGTGTCGATAATAGGATGACTGTGCATTAAGTGAGCATTACTTCTTTTTAAATGCAAAGCTGTGAAATAGCGCACAATGGCACAGTTCTTGGCTGAACTAACATAGAGTAAAGAGAACTGCAATTTCATTGCCAAGAGATTAAAAGAGGCTTATGCTTCCAAGAGTGAAGTTGCTCAGATTTGTCAGTTTTTAAACAGTTATAGATGCAACTGATGTCTAAGTAAACTGCTGCAGCACAGAAGGAGAATTTAGGTTGCCCACTGGGTTGAGTTACTCTATTCTTGAAGCTCCTTTACATTTCTGTTCTACTCTTCCACTTCGGCTTCGATCTGATTTTTATTTTAAGCTTTTATATAAAATTCTTCTTCCTTTGGTGCTCGAGTGTTACATATCTGCTGTCTTGCCAGTATGTTCTGGTGCTACTTCAGACTAGAAAATGGTTTTCTTATAATGAGTGTTCATTTTTTGAAACTTTTTCTCTGTGAGCTAAACTCTTAAGATTTCCAACCCACATGCACTTGGAGATGAACCGACTCACTTTTAAAATCCAAAGATGCCATTTATATTCTCTGTTTTGATGTCCTTGATTCAGCAAGCAACACAATTACACATCTTGCCCATCTCTGTGAAGTTTAGCTAAACAGCAAATTTTGAAGTTTCCAGTGGCATCTATCATTGTATCTAAGAACAAGAAGCAGTGTTGCTATAAAATTAAGAAAAAAAAAACAAAAAAACAACAGAGTGTCATGTAACAATTCTGTTTCTTGAGGAGAAAAAAAAAAAAAGGCAATTATATTTACTGGCACTCTAAACCAGTGTTTCCCAACTAGTGTAGTATTTTGCTGGCAGAACCCTCCAACACTGCTTGCAGCCACAGGAAGTTTAAAAATATAAATAAAGTTCAGATGTCTGCCACTGTTCATCTCTGCCTGGGTTACAGCAATGTATGGATATTGCCCGCAGCATGTTACTTGTTCAGTATTGTTGCCTGTGGGCCAACACAGGTTCCAAATATTCCTGTCCAATGTGTCCATACATGTCCTTTCAGTCAGACTGGCTGTGAAGAGCATGGAGGTATACAAAGTTTGTTATCAAGCTGCTTTATTTGCTATTAAATATTTTTGTTTTATAAACTTTGAATTGCAGAACACATTTTAGTGCAAATCAGATGAGATAATTGGACTGATTTTTAATGGTGCCTTTCAGACCTTTTTAATTCAAGACAGAAGATTTTGGAACCTGCATTCTTTCTATTTTATTTTTTTTTTCCTCCCTGATATATTCAGTCTCTTTGAAGTTTATTTATATCAAATACATGCCTAAATAATTTAAGTTGAATTCTAAGATAATTCAAGTATCTGCCCGATCTCGGCGAGTCAGTGCCTGGCTCCTGTCACCGCTGGAGGTGCGGGTCCAGCCGGGCACCCGCGGACCCCCGGACGTCCCTCTAGAGGGCAATCCTGCCCGTTCCATCCAGCCCAGCTGAGCCTGAGCCAGCCCGGAGGAACCCGCAGGAAATATGAGACTCCATCCACTTGGCTGTCCCCGGGGATAAGCACCCTTCCAGCAAAGGCTGGTAGCACACTCAGGTTAGGAAATCGCACTGTATTGCAGAAAACAGCCGCTCGGCTCTGGGCTGCCTTGCAAAAGGGGGCACCTCCCCTGCCTGCTGCACACGCAGCGTGGCCAGCAACGCAGGAATCACTGAAAGTCAGCCCAAGAGCAGCAGAAAGAAGTCTGGTTACCGGTGTGGGCTTGTCTTTTTGCACAAGGGGCTTGCTTTCCGATTAGAGTTTTAACATAAAATGTATATAAGTTTCGAGGACCTGGCTCCACACCCCACTGTTTCTCATCTCCTTTTTTTCTGGCCTCCGTGACTCTTGTCTCTGGCTCCAAGGTGGCCTAGTTTCAAGATGTGGTGAAGTGATAGACGATGTACTAGTACCATAGCAATACTTTTTATGGAATGAAATTGCCAAAATTAGTTCTGAAAGTGCTTTTGACATCTCCTGCCACATCTCTTCCTACTGAGTGTTGTAGGCTATTGCAAAGATCTAAAAGAAAGAAGCCTTGTTGAAGGTTTCAAGCTGGATTCTTGCTTATCCCAAATGTTTGCAGCATAGGAAGCAAAAACGCTTCTAAATTTGGGTTCATTCTTGGTTCATTCTTCTGCTCCTTGTCGTCATACCCAGCACCAGGCACACGGAGCTGTTCTGAGTCCCAGCTTAGGGAGGAGTGCTGCCAACTCTGCCACCTCCCTGCCAGCCACCATGGTTCCTCACCCCTGCCCAGGGGAATCTCCAGCTGACTAGATCCTTTGAACTAACTCAGAGAAGGCATTTTCCGGAGAGGGCTGGCACGTTAGAGTTTCTACAAGCAAAGGTTTAAAGAGCTCCCATAGTCCACCCTTAGAGAGCTCCATACATGTGCCGACAGTGCTTTCAGCTTCCCTGGGCTTCTGAGCACATCGGTGTTGGTGGTGGCCTGACTGAAGTCTCGCTGCAGTTTGGTCAACTCAGTAATGGCCCATCGTATTCGAAAGCAGTGGTGATTTTTTTACAGAAGAGTTCTCTTGCTAGAGCACCACTACTCCCCTCCCCGGCGACCTGGAATTTTTCAGAGATTGCCGCAGTCTCACAGAGTGGCTTTTGAGCCAAAGGCACAAAGTGGGGGGAAGATGAACATTAGAATAAATGACGTGTGTAGCACAAGTTCAAATGGTGAAAAGAAATGGGACTTGTCTGGCTGGGAAGCCAATCTAAGCTTGCTACCTGCATTGCCTGGAGACAACTTGGCTCGCTCCCTTTCCATTGAGTACTGTTATTGCAACAATATGCTCATGCTACTTTATCCTTAGCTGAGGCCCTTCAGGTCTCCTCCTGGGCTTGAGTCCCTAGTAGCTACAATGCCTCAGGCCAGCACTATAGAGCAGAAATGAGGTGGAGTTCAAACTGGCAAGGTATTTTCTCAAGGGCTCTGAATTTGAGTTTGGGATTCCACTGGCTTGCTCTCGCCTTATGGTTGCCTTTCCTTAGTCTCACTAAGTAAAGCATTCAAGTAAAATCCAGCTGAGAACTAGCAGTACTTAGCAGCTGGGCCAGGTGTTAAAAACGGTACCCTTTAAGAAAAGCCTCAATTATCCTTACACTAAAGGAAGGGGACAAACCATACCGTAAACTTCCGTGTTCATAGCGCTAACAGGCTCAGAAAAGTTCGCCAGAAGTGCTCATTATCTCCAAAGAGAGAACGATGCGCTAACTGCAGAACACTTGTCTTGTTCATAAATGTATCTTTCGTTGGAGTGATTCATCGGCGGAGTTACAATGCTGGTGGTTTCCGCTTTTAAGGGCTCCTTTTAACAGCTGTCTATCAACAGCAATAATAAAAGGAGCAGTCAAAGTTAAAATCAACAAACTATTATCTGTTAGGATTATTCATGGAATATGACACTGTAAACATACCAAAAGTCCCAAATACTAAATTTAGAAGAGCGACATAAGTGGAATAACAAAATTTTAGGGAACTGCTTCTAAAGAAAGCGCCAAAAATCTGAAATGGTGAGGATTTTTTATTTTAAGAGGCACTCTTTCATTGTTCAGTTCAAAGGAAACAGCATGTGACTAGGAAAGTGCTGAGCTATTTATGGGGCAGAAGATTTATCTGGGATTTTTTTCCCAGTTATTTCTCTGTTGACTTATATGCCTTTGTATTGCTTTTGAATTAAAAAAAAAAAAAAAAATTGAAATAAGAAAGGTTTATTTGTGTTACATTCACAGCACTGCTCAGAGCTCACGAGTTCTACCGTCACATTTACTTGTCACTTGCATGGTGTGTATTTGCCTTGTAACTTCTATCAGATAAATCCTCCATGCTGCATAGAATCCATCATCCTTCATGGTAATAATATCAGACCTCACCTACTTATTTTATAATAAACATCTTTTATCAACATCTTTAGACTGAACTTCTTTAACTCTGGAGAAAAAAAAAAAGAAGAAAAGTGAATGAATTACAATATAATTAGACCACTTGGCTGTGTACTTTTATTAACAGCAAAATTAATCTATTTATTAGGAACAGCAGCACTGGCTGAGTTCATTGTGTAAGTAAAAGATTTCACACAAAGCCTCCAAGTTCCAAAGGTATGTTACATATAGCCAAAAAACATAACTGCCAGAATTTGCCATAGGTTACCAAACCAGACTTTGCTCTCCCACAGTTTTTATTTATTAATCTTTGGGAAACGGTTTGGTTTTCTACAAGCTTTTAGTCAAAAGGGCACGTATGATTTGGCAGACTAATGTAATGTCTTATGTGCTCCTGTCAATTTCAGGGAAGATAAAATCTACAAGGATACTTAATTAAAAAAGAATGCGATGTCTGTTTTATAAATCACTGCTGCCATCTGCCCCCCAAATGCGGAGCCTGGAAGCGGTCTTGTGTCTAACCAGCGTGGGAAAAAGTCTGGATTTGAATTAAACCAACTTACTGAAATAACTTTTTCTTTTTTTTTTTTTTCCTAAGTACAGGCTGAAGCCTAACGCGGCACCAAACACCGGCGTTTCCTACTTGGCACTATGCACAGAAACCCGCGTTAAGGTCACATAAAGGCAGGCGGGCAGTGCTCCCACGGGTGC